TTTTATTAAGTTACATATTTTAAATCAGACTCTGAAAGAGCTTCCTTCCTTCTTTCGTTCCTCGTCTGTCACTGACATCTCCTCGCTCACTAAACGAGGGAGTGAGCATTCCCAGCATGCCCCACTTCAGCTGTGGGCCAGCTGCTGCTCCGACGGGGCGAGAGAGAGAACGAGAAAGGAGGAGGAGGGAAAAATAGAGACACGTTATGGAAATAAGACGAGGAAAAGAGGGACTCGTAGAGGAAGAGAAGAAGAGAGGGCAGGGAGGGCGGAGCGACAGGTGAAGAGATTAGAAATGAAAACAGGAAGAGGAAACTGAATGAGGAGGAAACAGAGATTTGGCTGCAGTGGAAATGAAGAGAAAAAAGAAGAAAACCGGATCGACGCCCATTGTTTCTTAGAAATAAACCAAACCGCTCTCCTGATTACATCGTCATAATAACGTAATCCCCTCCTGGATTATTTGCAAAGAGCTCGTCTTTCAGATTGAATCAAACACGAGGGTTATGCACCACTCGGGATTTACAAGCCGGAAGGCGCCAACACTCATCAGAACACAGGAAAATAAATGTTTAGGTGCTTAAAATAAACTGTTATTTCACTCAATATCTTCTTAAAGGTGGAGTCGTTACAGCTTGTAAACATATAATTCAAACATGGCCCCTCCTCCTCCAGAAGCTCACCCTTACTGCAGGATGTAATGTGTACGTTTACTGCTTGTACCTACACTGCAAGCTAACGCCCGCTAGCACAAGCTAACCGCCAGTCTTTGTCTCCTGCCCAGGGGCGATTCTAGGGTCTGTTGGGGCCCAAGCAAAAACTCATTGAGGGCCCCTACGACCAGCGTACAGCCCCAAGTTTTGCAGACGACAGCATCCAATTTTCAAGAAAAAGACGAGACCCCGGAAGATCTGCACACATCAGACCACTCTGCAGTCCAATACTTTGTGGACCTGCTTCAGTGCTCCAAATCCAGAACTCGAATGGCAGGACGGGCCTGTTTATCCCTGTCACAAACCGGTCTGTCACAGACCAACTTTCCTTTTTTTTCTTCACCCCAGACGGATAACTCCTCTTCACTTTCCTTCATTGCCAAATTTTGTTTTTTACAGGAATAATGGTGCAACGCTTAGCAGGGCATTGATAGTGAGTGCTGTCAGATGGGGCCAGATTAGGTAGTCATTACTACTGTCATTGCAAAATTTTCACATTTTGAGGTAATGCTTTGTTTTAAAGTTTGGGGGGGCCCTGCTGGCCTGGGGCCCCAAGCAGTTGCCTGCCTTGCCTGTTAACAATCAGCGCCTCTGCTCCTGCCTGTCCAACAGGAAGCAGACCAACTCCTTTAAATATCTTCAAACTCGGGGTCGGGGGTCCGATTCCGCAGCTCCTGCAGCCACATGTCTGATGTGTCCTAGGGCAAGACTTTTAACCCCAAGTTGCTCCCACTGCTTCGTTAGAGGTGTATGAATGTTTATGAATGGGTTAATAAATACTGATGGACTCTTAACACATCAGCCTCTACCATCAGGGTGTGAATGTGTAAAAGTGCTTTAAACTAGAAAAGCTGCACAAGCCACACACGCTAGCTCCTCAGTCATTCTGGGTTTTTCTTTAACCCCTTCCCGCTCTGCCAGGAAGGGAAGAGCGAGGAAGGCGGTGAAAGAGGAGAAGTCGAAGTGTGATGAGCCAATTTTCACGTGTGAGACTCTCGAGAAATCAGCATGTTTGTATCTTCAGCGAGAAAAGCACAACGTATGTGATACCACAAGCCCGAGAACAAGTTTACACTTCCTGTCGTCGTGTCAGATTAAATTTAGAGAAAGTGAAAACAAACCTTGCAGCAGCTGCTGTCGCCCGTGTTTCCGCTCTGACTGTTAATCCTGCTGCTCACGCTGAGTGGGAAGTAAACAAACATATTCACAAAGTGGACTCTGGCATCCCACAGTAAAAAAAGAGGGAATAGAAACAAGCAACGTGCACTTCAGATGGTCTAAACCTCCTTCCTCTCTCCCCCCCTCCCCCCCTCAGATGGTCGCTCCCTCCTCCTCGCTCCCTGCCTCCCGGACACGCCTGCAGCCCGGGTCCTGGAGCGAGCCGTCCTCGAGTCGCGCGTCCGAGAGGTGGAGGAGGAGAACCGGCAGATCCGCCTGCAGCTCAGCCAGTCGCATGGCACCGCTGCCCAGCCGCCGGACGGTAACTATGGCAACCAGCAGTGGGGAGCCTCGGCGGACACGGGGCCCGAGGACGGGGACAACACGGCCGAGGAGAAGAACAACCACACGGAGTGTCCCCGGTCGCCCACCGTCCAGAAGTGTGAGGTAAGGAAACACAAACATGATAACATGCTGCACAAGAGGGAAGGGTGGAGGCAGTGAGGAAGGTGGAGGCAGTGAGGAGGGTGGAGTCAGTGAGGAGGGTGGAGGCAGTGAGGAAGGTGGAGTCAGTGAGGAGGGTGGAGGCAGTGAGGAGGGTGGAGGCAGTGAGGAAGGTGGAGTCAGTGAGGAAGGTGGAGTCAGTGAGGAGGGTGGAGGCAGTGAGGAGGGTGGAGGCAATGAGGAAGGTGGAGTCAGTGAGGAGGATGGAGTCAGTGAGGAAGGTGGAGTCAGTGAGGAAGGTGGAGGTGGTGATGAGTGAGTCGACGGGGAATAAACCCCCTTTGATGTGTTTTCAGCTTCTGATTTTCTGTTTGAAAGCAAATGACGTGAAATCATAAATATCCGAGAGGCTAAATATGAAATGTCAAATCCGAGACGTAAAAAAAACGTCCAGATTTATGTGAAGTTAGGAAAAAAGTGGAGCTCATACTTTGCGCTGAATACTCTCCCGCTGAACTCCTAAAATAAGACGGAGGGATGATTCACAGAGAAACGTGTTTGAATGACTCATGGCTGCTTCTCTAAAACTCTGAGCTGTTAAACTTCCTCATGAACCCGCTGACCCCTCCTCTTCCTCTTCCTCTTCCTCTTCCTCTTCCTCTTCCTCTTCCTCTTCCTCTTCCTCTTCCTCTGTCCCTGCAGCTGATCCATGTAGCGTGCGTTTGTGCCGGTCACAACGCCAGCAGAGACGTGGTCACGCTGGTCAAGTCCGTCCTCTTTCACAGGTGAGTCTCTTCATTTACAACGACAGAAGTGTTCAGATTGAAGTCTCTGCGTTCAAACTCGGGTACCGTGCTCGAGTCCACTTGAAGAGGTGGTCTCGAGTACGGTCTGATCCGGGCGAACATAACGCCGTTTCATGACCTTTTTTTTTTCCGATTTACAGTCTGTATCTCCCAGCATGCATTGCCCATAGGGAGTAATTTAAACATCTAGTGTTGTAGTCCTCATGTAGCGTTTTTACTCGGTCTTGTCCGTCTCTCGGACTGGGAGTAAGACCACCACAGATTTTCTTCTATTTTTTCCACGTTCTTACTGTGTTTATTAATCTGCAGGATTCAAAATAGAATAAACCCAAGCTGTTAAATTCTGGGACTGCCCTTAAAGGTGGGATGAGCTACATGCCTAAATATGTCACCCTGCTGCCCTGAACACCAAATCAACAACCAGAGGAGATTTTATTCCTGCAGGAAGAACAGTGTGTGCAAAGCTAAACCAGCTGGCTGTCCTCCATAAGGAACCTTTGGATCATGATGTCTCTCTTTTTCTTTTTCAGGAGAAATCCTCTTCACTTCCATTTCATCACCGACACCGTAGCCAATCGCATCCTGAGTTCTCTGTTTCAGTCCTGGATGGTCCCGTCTGTGCAAGTCAGCTTCTACGACGCCGACGAACTCAAGGTAAGAGGAACACACGGTGTCAGTCCTCATCCATCAAACGCCTCTGCTCGTCCCCGTTTCCTGCTTTGTGTCGGGAGGAGGTGAGTCAAAGTCAAAGATCAAAGTCGACCCTTCCACCTCCACGAAGCAGCAGCGAGTCGACTTGAATGCATTGATAAATCTCCTCTGAAGGCAGAGATTCACCTCGCAGCATCAAAGAGACGTCGGCACAAAAGCAGCACGCTCCAGATGAATCAGAGACGCGCAAACAGGAGGTCGCAGCGTGCGGGTTGGAGTGTGCCCGTCTGCATCACATTAACAGATCAGACGATTGATTAAACACCCTGAGTGTTCACAGGATGTAAATTCAGGGGGCGGGGTTAATCTGACGTTTGGTCTCCTTCTAAGTGACAACAGATTCAGAGCAGGATGGATGGAAGACATATTAAACACAAACAGAATGTGTGACTTTTTGATCCAGTAGATGTCGCCCTTGAGCTCCAGCATGAAACCAAAACAAACTGCTGTTAGGCCACACCTCCTCCATACTGAAGCCTCCGCTCTCCTCCAGAGACACACCTCCAACCCCCCTCCACTCACGTTCACATGAAGGAGTTATGGATTAGAAAGAACCATAATTAAGCTCCATTGTAGCTTCACATTGCATGTAAACAGTCACAGAATGAGCGTGATCTAAAAACTCTTACTAACATCCAAATAATCAGTGAGTATGTTCTTCTTCTTCTCTCTAGTTCTTGACTTAAACAGCTTTTAAACACAAGGGGAGGAGCCGGCCGTCCCGTCCATCTAAACACGGCTCTGACAACAACACAGCCAGCGGGACTCGAGCTTCTCCCTCATTGTAGACAGTCATGACTCAGAGACACATTCACACAGGAGAGACTGGATTTATGATTTATTTATGTGGAACATGTAGCACTTTCTTCCTTTAAGTCCCAGGAGGGTACGATGTTTATTGCACAGCGATCATATTCCCTTTTACATTCTGTCAGTTATCTTGTTAATAGGTACTAGGTGTGAGGTGTGTGTGGGAAACTAGGTCTGCGATTACAGTTTTCAATCACGATTAATCTCAAAATTTCAATAATTAATTGGTGGGGGGATTGCAGTTTGCTCCCGCCTCGCACTCAGGCTACCAGATGAAAACAAAAACACATTAAAAACCGCTCCAAAGGAAAAGATGCTGCAACGTTTATCTCATCTTATTTTAAAGATTTCAAAGATTTACCTCACCTCACTCCATCTCACGTCCAGGTTTAAATAAAACAAAGTGTGTTTGATAACCTGGAATATGAAGCAGGAGGCACTCAGTCTTCATCTCAAACGGATTCTAAGTAGCAGCTCTTTAAAGGTAAACGGAGGTGAAAAAAGATTTTTCAGTGTGCAGAAACAAAGTGTACCTACGCTGTTCAAACACTTCTCTCCCAAAGTCAAGTGACACTTCAGCACAAAACGCCCCAATCATTCCTTTCTCATCAGGTTGATGAATGTGCTCACAGAGCGACGGGGATGTACGGATCTGTGTGTGTGTGTGTGTGTGTGTGTGTGTGTGTGTGTGTGTGTGTGTGTGTGTGTGTGTGTGTGTGTGTGTGTGTGTGTGTGTGTGTGTGTGTGTGTGTGTGTGTGTGTGTGTGTGTGTGTGTGTGTGTGTGTGTGTGTGTGTGTGTGACTCCGACCTGCATCCCCCTCCAACACATCATCACATTCTCCCTCCTCTCAGTCTTTGTGCTGAACAATGAGTCCTTTGTACCGTCAGATGGAGCGTCGACCTGCAGCCCTCTTCTCTCTACTTTTCATTAACTGGCATTAAAGAGCAGAAAAAAGAAAAAAACAAACGACGCGACTCTAAGCCGATTATATTTGCACATGATGCACTTATGCAGATCCAATTACTCTGAATCAAGAGAATTAATTAAGAGACACTATTTGCAGATTCAGAAAAGAGAGGGGGAAAAAAAAACACACACAGAGGCTCTGCCAGAATGAGCTGAATGCGTCTTTGTGTCGGACCGCTCACAGAATACCGCTCACGTTTAAAGAACAGCGCTCGCTCCAGAAGTCACCTGCTGGAGAAGCATGAAAATAACAAACCTGATGATTTTTCTTCTTCTTCTTCTTCTTTGTCGTTCCAGTCCGAGGTGTCGTGGATCCCCAACAAGCATTACTCAGGTATTTACGGCTTGATGAAGCTGACGCTGACCAAAGCTTTGCCCTCCGACCTGTCCAAGGTCATCGTCCTGGATACGGACATCACCTTTGCCACCGACATCGCCGAGCTCTGGGGCATCTTTAGAAAGTTCACCGGTAAGACACCTTCAAATGTTTAGGCTGTTGAAGGATCTCATCTGTGAAAGTTAAGATCTTGCGTTTTCTTATGTTTGGGTCTGAACGACTTTAAGTCTGACTCAGGGTGCAGGAGTTTAAAAATCCAGGATCAGGGTCAGGATCAGGGTCAGGATCAGGGTCAGCATCAGGGTCAGAGTCAGATTGTAACCGTCACAAGAGTTATAGACTGCTCCTTTAAGTCTAGAAAGAAGTTGAGCTCTTCACTGATGTTTGTTTTTCTTGTTTGAAGACAAACAGGTGATCGGTCTGGTGGAGAACCAGAGCGACTGGTACCTGGGGAACCTTTGGAAGAACCATAAACCGTGGCCGGCGCTGGGACGAGGCTTCAACACAGGTAACAACACAGATCGTATTTTCCTAAATATGACTTGAATTTACTATTTATTCTAAGAAACATTCAACAGGATTTGACGACCTCAGTCATGATCCTTTTGTTGGCTCTCTCTAACAGGGGTCATCCTCCTCTACCTGGAGCGACTGAGACGGATCGGTTGGGAGCAGATGTGGCGGCTGACGGCGGAGAGGGAGCTAATGAGCATGCTCAGTACGTCGCTGGCGGATCAGGTGAGCCAGCGATAAATCTAATTCCTCTTTTTTTCAGAGATTAGATTGTGGTTTATCTTTGGGTCCATGAGCCCAGAGTGGATCCAGTTTGAGTCCAAATGAGTCCAGTCTGGATCCTGTTTGAGTCCAAATAAGTCCAGTCTGGATCCAGTTTGAGTCTAAAATGAGTCCAGTCTGGATCCGGTTTGAGTCTAAAATGAGTCCAGTCTGGATCCGGTTTGAGTCCAAATGAGTCCAGTCTGGATCCTGTTTGAGTCCAAATGAGTCCAGTCTGGATCCAGTTTGAGTCTAAATGAGTCCAGTCTGGATCCAGTTTGAGTCTAAAATGAGTCCAGTCTGGATCCGGTTTGAGTCCAAATGAGTCCAGTCTGGATCCAGTTTGAGTCCAAATGAGTCCAGTCTGGATCCAGTTTGAGTCTAAAATGAGTCCAGTCTGGATCCGGTTTGAGTCCAAATGAGTCCAGTCTGGATCCGGTTTGAGTCCAAATGAGTCCAGTCTGGATCCAGTTTGAGTCTAAAATGAGTCCAGTCTGGATCCTGTTTGAGTCCAAATAAGTCCAGTCTGGATCCTGTTTGAGTCCAAATGAGTCCAGTCTGGATCCAGTTTGAGTCTAAATGAGTCCAGTCTGGATCCAGTTTGAGTCTAAATGAGTCCAGTCTGGATCCGGTTTGAGTCCAAATGAGTCCAGTCTGGATCCTGTTTGAGTCCAAATGAGTCCAGTCTGGATCCAGTTTGAGTCTAAAATGAGTCCAGTCTGGATCCGGTTTGAGTCCAAATGAGTCCAGTCTGGATCCTGTTTGAGTCCAAATGAGTCCAGTCTGGATCCAGTTTGAGTCTAAAATGAGTCCAGTCTGGATCCAGTTTGAGTCTAAAATGAGTCCAGTCTGGATCCTGTTTGAGTCTAAAATGAGTCCAGTCTGGATCCAGTTTGAGTCTAAAATGAGTCCAGTCTGGATCCTGTTTGAGTCTAAAATGAGTCCAGTCTGGATCCAGTTTGTTTATGATCCCATTTATGACAAGTGTCCCTGAATGAAATTGGCTACCCCCGATAGCTGAAACACAAAGCTTTGATAAAACCAGAAGAGAGTCCATGTGGCCCTCTTTATCAGTCATACATCCAAGTATCGGCTGTAGACCTCTAACAGTCCGTGTGCGGTCTCTCTGCAGGACATCTTCAACGCCTTCATCAAGCAGAACCCTGTCCTGGTGCACCAGCTGCCCTGCTTCTGGAACGTTCAGCTGTCTGATCACACTCGCTCCGAGCAGTGCTACACCGAGGTGTCTGACCTCAAGGTACACACACACACACACACACACACACACAGTTTGATATACTGCTGAGGGCAGAGGACTGACTCTGTCCTCTGGAGACACGACGTTCCGTCAGGGTTCAGTCTGTTCGATTTACAGAGCTGCTGCTGCAAAAAACACAAACTGCAGAAAACAGTTGACTGATGTAGCTGATGATAACGCGTCTCCTCCGTGCTGTGGTCCCAGGTGATCCACTGGAACTCCCCAAAGAAACTACGAGTGAAGAACAAACACGTGGAGTTCTTCAGGAACCTCTACCTGACCTTCTTAGAGTACGACGGAAACCTGCTGAGACGGGAACTGTTCGGCTGCCCGAGTCAGGCCAGTCCAGACAGCGTGCAGGTGAGACACACACACACACACACACAAACGCAAAGAAAGGCCAGTCAGCAGATATTGAGGCTGCAGCATACATTAACAAAGCTTATACTGAAAGATTCTCTTCTTTATTGCCTTACTTAGAGTGTTTGGAAAAGAGCCAGACTGATGTTGGAGCCAATATGGATTTTCTCAGAGTAACAAATATCTGTTAACAGTTTGCCAATATTCAATTAAACTCGTTTTTCAGAAAGGGTTCAAAGTTTTTTAAAAAAGCACTAAAATTGGCAGGAAAGCAGTTTGATATTATACTGTACAGAACAAATGTTGCTGCCATGGTAACAGTCCCTGTTTATGTTTGAAACGAAAATGTCAGAAACGTGCTCAAACTAGGATAAATTTTGGAGATGCTTTTGAAAAATGGAGAGAGGTTTACAGACCGATGCAGAGCTGGATAAACACTGAAGCTTCAGTGTCCACCACATGGTGACCTGCGTCAGCTTCGACTCTAGAGAGGAGGGGGCGGGGAGACAACTCTGTGTAAAATTTGAATTTAGACTGCAGTACCCATTTTAAACACTAGGTGTCAGAGTTACATATTGCTCCTTTAACGAGTTTGATTAATTTGGTCTGTATTTGGTCTGGTTTGTCTGAAGAAAAGGGAAAGCGTTATCCAGCCTGACTGAACTTGAGTTCATAATCCCAAGAATTTTCAGTTATGAGCAGAGTTGTGTGCGTGTGTCCTCTCAGCTGCAGGCGGCTCTGGAGGAGCTGGACGAGGACGATCAGTGTTACGACTTTCGACGGGAGCGACTCACTGTTCATAGAGTCCACCTCTACTTCCTGCAGTACGAGTACACGCCCACCGAGGACGACACGGACATCACGCTGGTGGCCCAGCTCTCCATGGACAGGTACCAAACCATCTCATAATCCCTGAAGCAGTAGTAGTATATATATCCCTGTAGTAGTAGTATATAATATTTACAGTATATTCATACATTAATGTACTTAATACCCATCGCTGTTCTATTTAGTCTTTATTTAAGTAGTTAACCATTTTCTGACCTGTTTTTGATAAATATTCTATAGACTGTAATAATCTGAGGGATTATTTGATACATCTGTGCAGGCTCCAGATGTTGGAGGCCATCTGTAAGCACTGGGAGGGCCCCATCAGCCTGGCGCTCTACATGTCCGACGCCGAGGCTCAGCAGTTCCTCCGATACGCTCAAGCCTCAGAGGTCCTCAAGAACCGCAAGAACGTCGGCTACCACATCGTCTACAAGGAGGGCCAGTTCTACCCCGTCAACCTGGTGAGGAACGTGGCCCTGAAGAACGCCAACACGCCGTACGTGTTTCTGACTGATGTGGACTTCCTCCCGATGTATGGTCTCTACGATTACCTCAGGTATGGACTCCCAATAACACTAACTAACCAGTAGAGGCAGCGGCACACTGCAAAGTGAAATGTTTGTTTTTGTCAATGGAGTCTGTCTGCCGTGAGCATTTTTCTGGCACTTTGGGTATCTTGTCAAACACATGATAATCTCTGATAATCACCAAACCCCCAACAGCTCTGGTGCGCTCCCTGTGTAGCAGCCCCCCTCTGACATCTCTCTATTAGTGCATGTCCACAGGTCCTGTTTGTGAATGTGTGTGAGAAGCAAGTCTCTGTGTATTGCCGTTTTGATCTCAAATTTCATTTCGGGACATCTTACAAAGCCTTAAATCTAACAAGGATACCTTGTTTAAGCATTTTAAAGAGGACATATTATCCCCCTTTTTCACCTTTTCAAACAGTCCCCTGTGGTCTAAATGAAACATCTGTGCTGTGCTTTGGTCAAAATATAACATGAATCAAGCACCAGAGGAGGTTTGTGACCCTGTATAAACCAGCTCTCTCAGAACGCTCCGTTTTGGTGTGTATGTCTCTTTAAATGCAATGAGCCCCCCCCTGAGTTTTTCCGGTAGACATCACTCCTTCGCTAGCAAGAAAAAAAAATGGCGGACCTGTGCAAAGGTTTTACCAGAATCCCACTGTGACATCACAAGGAGAGCACATTTGAAACGGAGCATTTTTCTCTGTGTTGTAAGACTTATGCAGACCACAAACAAAGGGCTGGATGGGTTTATTTCAAACTTTTGGGTCTGTAGATACTCAGGTTACCCAAATATATGTTCAAAAACACTGTAGAAATGGAATTTTCATAATATGTCCTCTAATTTACGCATTTTATTGACAAAACCAGTCAGTTGACTGAGAACGGAGATGTTTCTTGTCTCAGTAGTGTATGCTTACAAATATTGGGCTTCAACCATTACAGACTGTTTCATGATTTCAGGCTGACACGATATATACTGGAGCAACATCAAATCTCTTTCTGCCTATTAGTCAGTTTCACTGAAATGACAGCCCACATCAGCTGCAGGCTGAAGCTGGACATTAAGTCTTTGGTTTATTTGGAAACAATCTATGAAATGTAGATGATTTTGATGTTTTTTGGTCACTGTCTTTGAGTTGTCCTCTGAGTTGCGGTCTACCATTGCCTCACATGTCCTGTTTCCTCCATGCAGAAGGTCTGTGGTGCAGCTGGACATGGCTCACACTAAGAAGGCTCTGGTGGTTTCGGCCTTCGAGACGCTTCGTTACCGTCTGTCCTACCCAAAATCCAAAGCTGAGCTGCTCTCTATGCTGGACATGGGGACTCTCTACACCTTCAGGTAACTGGGCTGGAAACAAATGAACATTCCTTTTTTCCACATCTGAATGAAAACAAAGCAGATGGAAAACCAAGTCTTAATCATGTCTTTCTCCTGCCCATCTAGGTACCATGTGTGGCCCAAAGGTCACGCTCCGACCAACTATGCCAAATGGCGAACAGCCACCACGCCGTATAAGGTGGAGTGGGAGCCGGACTTTGAGCCGTACGTCGTAGTGAGGCGGGACTGTCCGGAGTACGACCAGCGCTTTGTGGGCTTCGGCTGGAACAAAGTGTCCCACATAATGGAGCTCGATGCACAGGTACGTCTGCAGCATAGTGCGGAAGTGCAAGAAAACTGCTGTTCCTCGAGTGTCCACTTGAGGCTGGCTGAAAAGTCCAAGGAATATCTTTTAGGTCCCATATTAAAATACTAATTACCTACAGCAGCAATTAACATTTAATGGGGATCCAATAACAACGTTCTTTATCAGAACACATTGGAGGTGGGCTAAGATTTCGTCATTTACATAATTAGGGCTATGGCTTGGCTGACGGTGGGTGCATTGTAGCTGTTTGTCAGGAGGCTTAAGGCCCGCCTTAGCTCCACCTCTTTGCCCATTACTAGATTAATCAACAGACAGGGGGTTTCCAAAATGGCAACCACCATTGTTTGGGCTTCAAAATGCCTCTTGAGAAGCCGATGGGCAACATTACTGTGACTACGTCCATGTTTATACAGTCTATGGTTTTGATGGAAATGTTTAATAACAGATGAGGTGCTAAGGTCGATTAGGGTACACCTCTGTGGTTTTATCTCAAATACAGAGGAGGTGTTCCCTTACCATTACCAGAATCAGAAATGCCCCTTCCATCCATCCATCCATCCATTATCTATTCCGCTTTTCCCGTCCAGGGTAGCGGGGGCTGGAGCCGTTCCAGCTGTCATTGGGCGAGAGGCGGGGTTAAACCCTGGACTGTTCTCTAGTCAATCACAGGGCTGACATATAGAGACAGACAACCAGCCACACTCACATTCACACCGAAACAACAAAAATACGGACAATTTAGAGTCAGCAGTTAACCTAACGAGCATGTCTTTGGACTGTGGGAGGAAGACGGAGTACCCGGAGAGAACCCACACATGCAGAGGGAGAACATGCAAACTGTTATTTTAAAACCCCCAAAATATGTAAAGATATTACCCAGTTTTAAACATGTTTTAAATGCAAGTCCATTGGTCCATTGTCTTGTTTCTAAACTTTCTTTTTCCCTCTTGTCTTCAGGAGTACGACCTGATGGTTCTCCCCAACGCCTTTATGATCCACATGCCCCACGCTCCCAGCTTCGACATCTCCAAGTTTCGCTCCAGCTCCAGCTACCGCAACTGTCTCAACACCCTGAAGGACGAGTTCCACCAGGACCTGTCCAGGAAGTACGGCTCAGCTGCTCTCAAGTACCTCACGGCCCAGAGGAACATCTAAAAACCACAACCGATGAGAGGCAGCGAGTCCCCGCCAGCCTCGAGTTCCCGACATGTACCGAGGCAGCAGTGCGCCGCGGCCCGCTAACGCCGCACAGCACAAACAATGAAAGTAAAGCTTTACAGCCCCTGTGTAACATTTTGGGGGCTCCTCGTGCATTAATTCTCCAGTCGACTCCAGCTCAAGGCGACAAGAGGACGAGGCGCAAAGACCAAAAACCGGACAGAGTGATGGTGGTTTTTTCGAAACGCAGGAGTCACCGGGCTAAAGGAGGCGATCAATGGGTGAGGATCGGACTAGCTTTAAGGTGGAGAAGAAGCGCATTCTTACAATTTGTTCTGACAATCAGAGCCTTTGGGGACACGGTGCGGATCAGTCCGTCCACATCGAGATCTGGACCCGACAGGACCCGTGGTGTTCTGGGGAAAGAGAAGTTTGTGAGGCCAGTCGAACTGGAGAAAGATTTAAGCCTTATCACTTTTCACAATATTTACGGAGATATTCAAAGATGTTTTAGTTCTTTTCTTTTTTCCAGTGTAAATCAGAACCAATCAATAATGAACATTTACAAAGTTTTGATTACGAGCTTACACAAGAATCCGTTTATTTTTCCTTTCTATATTTTCTGACCTCTTTCAAAGAAAGTCCATCAAGTCCCAGTCGAACTATGTCCAATTTTCTGTGAGCTTCAGGGATGTGCTTTGTGTGTGTGTTTGTATGAGAGTGTGTGTGTTGCAGCTGCATTACATGGCTCGTCTCCAATACACTCACTGATTGTCGTCAACATCGCTCTCGTTCTGTCTCATGTATTAGCTTGCATGTAAAGGGTTGCACTACACGTTTTTATTTTATTCTTATTTCACTTGGGGACATTTAACTTTTTTTTTCCCATCATGCATCCCTCTGGAAGAAGCAACAATCCTTTCATAATAACAGATCTATCATCACTAATGGGACCAACTCGGACACGTTAAGTGAGTTGGTATGAATGAATTTTGACTTTTTTATGTTTTTTACATTCATCAAATTATGTCTAAATCACTGGATTTAAATGTGCCGTCTACTGAACCCTGTTTGTTTCTTTGTAAAGTTCAACTGAAATGACAAAATTCTCTCTGTTCTGAAATATGTATTTGTCGTTTTATTCAATCAAAAGCATAATATCTTGTTTTTATGAATCACACAGAAATCCAAAATTAAGCCTCCAAACTCAAAAACAATGCATTTGAAGTTGTGTTTGGACTCTGACTGTGTATGTTGTTCTGCAAATGTTAATTTCCCTTCCTGGCTTTCAGGAAGTGAGTCCAACAGTCCGACCCCCCCCCCGAAATATACGCCGCTAATGTAGCTAATGCTAGCTTCCTAGCTAAAGCCTCCTTCATTCATTCATTCAGATTCTTTAAATGGGGCAGATGAAGAGGTGTGCAAAGATTTATTTTTCAACTGGGCTTTCATGAAAAAATTCTATCCACAGAACAATGAAATGAAAGATGTTTCATTTCTGCACTTTGGATTCAGGTTTTTTATAAACACAAGATGCAAAAACTTAACGTTGCAATCGAAGTAAATCACGCAGGACAGTTTCAGTTGGACTTTAATTTCCTGATCGTCTTTGTTTTAATTTAATGTAAAATTTTCACAATTGTTTTCAAAAGATATCTGTCAGTCTGTCCAACCATCTCAAGATCATGTGACAACATTCAGGGAGTGGATTCTCGCGGTCCCCAGAGATCTGCTCGTTATGATTGTGACTCCTTTTATTCTTTACACACACCTGATTATCAGTATTTGATTAACCAAAGTTTTGGCCCTTGACATTTCAAAATGTTTGACCAGTAAGGGCCTGTGTCCACAGATAGCGTCTCTGAACGCTTCTCACCAGCGTTCACTGTTGCTAGGTTACTAAAGTTAACTTCTGCTGCCCTTGGTAATGTCCGTTAGGGGAGCGTTTAGACCGCTCTGCCCCCCAAAAAAAAAAAAGGCAAGCGTCTCCTCTGCCATTGTTTTGACAAAGCTGATGTTGTAAGTCCCGCCCTGTCCTGATTCTGATTGGTCCGTGAGGGTGATGTGAGATTGATGAGCGTGGTGCTGTTTTCAAACTAAGAGCGCTGTGAGTGCAGCGACAAGAAACAGCTGATGCTGAGGGCGTTAGACGCTTAGCATCAATTTAGTACTGAAAACGAGCGCCGTCTGTGGACACGTCTGGCCCTTACGCACGCACTCTGGTGTGTGTTTGAGCTCCCCCAGAGGACGATCCTCTCCTCTTCGACATGTCGAATCATATTTATGTTGTTTATTTGGTTGTCCCCCACTTCATTCGGACAGAAATCGAGCAGAGAAGAAAAGATTAAAGTCTGGAATCATTTGAGGAAAAGGAAAAAGGCCGAATAAGTAACGGGTAATCCTGAGTGTCGGTGTGTGTGTGTGTGTGTGTGTGTGTGTGTGTGTGTGTGTGACAGCTGCAGGCTCGCACAAAGGTGGAGTGGGAAGGCGTGAGTGTGAACCGCAAAGAGCCCAACCCCCCCTCCCACCGCCCACCACCCACCCCCACCATCTGCACCGCCTCCATTGACGTGTTGTTGATTGTGGTAAATGCTAGTGCCTTTGCTGTATTGTGAAACTGGATATTGATTGTACTGTTGTGGCGACAGGGCCTGGGGAAAGTCAGGCGCTCTATTTATTATTGTTGACTCAAATCAATCATATTTTTCTATGTAAGTGCTTTAAATAAAATTTGCCCTTTTTTAATCACGCTGTGTGGTGAATTTCATATTTTCTTCTGAGCATCCACACGTTCACCTGCAGACTTTCCATGACACGCTTGTTACTCTGGGATTACTGAGACCTCTCTCTCTCTCTCTCTCTCCCCCCGCAGGCCAAATCATATTTTGGGGATTTTAACAAGTTTACCAGGCGCCCTGGTTTAAGCCAGTATGAACCTGCCATGTGTGTAATTGGTCCAATGAAAACACAAACTGAATTATTGTGGATGAACACACGGAGGACTCGTGAGAGTTCTTGTCCTGTTAAAATGCAAATGACATGAAGTTAATTGCAAACATGAATTTCTCCACACAAGGTGAAACAGCGGCTGCTCTCATTCAGAAATGGTAAAGTTACACTGTGTTCAGTTCAGTTTTGAGTCAGAAAATAAAGGTAGGATTTAGGATGTATTTTAGACTATATGAGGATGTGGCAGAGTGCGCTCCCATGATTCCCCGCTAGCCTCGACGTCATCTTTTGTTATTGTAGCATTAATTGAGAGCTCCTTGGTGGTGGATTCTACATATTTTTTGTTAAAGTTTGACGCAAATTCACGCAAATGATTTACTCAAGTTCAAAACTGTAAACTTACTGAACAAGCAGGTGGCGTAAAAGGGGCAAGTTATAATCTGAGGAAACATAAGGCTCAGGGAACATAGACACACTCCCCTAGGTTTGTCAGTTCATTACATTTCATGCAGCGCTGCTCTCAGGGTTGAGCCTATGTGTGTAGCTGTCCTCTTCTTCAAAACCACCAGATAGAAATATAAGAAAATAACATATCTGCCCTGCTCGAGCTGCCTCCTCCTCCTCGAGGAAGCACTTCCACTTCTCCCCTCCAGGGTTCTTAGCGACACCTAATCAATTATTAGTCGTCCTTTCTGCATGTAGGCCAATCAGCCCATATGTACAGAGTGTGAGCAGACACACCACACATACGCACAATGATTCATTGAAGAGTGGCTCAAACATGCAGCCAGGCCTGCAGTGTCTTATTTTCTATAGAAGCTACTCAGAAATGCCATTTCACAAACAAGGATGATTTAAAAAAAAAGAAGTGCAAATGAGATCTGTTTGAAACTGTTTTTACGTGGGACAAAGATCTGAATATGCACAGATAGCGGAGTGAATCATTGTGCTTTGATTAGAAAAGGCTCATTGTGATATCGAAGAATACATTTATAGTGCAAAAGGAGCAAATAAATAATTTATTTTGGGGCTTTTATGCGTTTATTCGAGAGAGGACAGTGGATAGAGTCAGAAATCAGGGAGATCAAGAGACAGAGAGAGCGAGTGGAGAATGACATGGCAAGGCAGCTACAGAGCTACAGGTCGGATTCAAACCCGTGCCGCCTGCTTTGAGTAGGCTAGTGTAGCCTCTGTACGGGGTGTGCAAACTAACTAAAAAGCCACTGGAGCCCCGGGAGCACATATATTATCAATTTATTTGTAAGGTTCGACTTAATGGACAGAGATTTTGAGGTCACATTTTCTCCTCCTCTTCAACCAGTGTAAATAAGTCTCAGGGCTCCACAAAACATGTGTGTGAAGTTTCTTGTTCTAAATCCTGTAATTGATCATGCCTATAAACCCCTCTATTTCAGCCCTGCTCAGAACAGGCTGTTTCTGTGTCTGTAGCTTTAAATGTAAATGAGCTGTGTCTGACCACGCCCCCTCTCTGGAAGGGCTTGGGTGTCTCTGGCTTTCTCGCTCCATGCCGTATTGTTTACGGTGAGAGGGCAGACTCAGAGGGCAGAACAAACACCTAGCTGTGGGAGTGTCACCCACCTGGGGGAGGGGTTACTGCCCTTTGTGATGTCATGAAGGGAAAATCTCCAAACGGCCTGTTTGAGCACACATTTTCTAAAAAGTGGAGCAGGCAGAAGACGGAGAGGATGGACTTTTCTCAGAATTAGGTTTTTTTTATCTCTTTTTCCAAACATTTAAATTAAACAGTTGTTCACTCATCATTAAGTCTCTCCTGATTGAAAAAGAGACACATTGATGCATCACTTTTACATCGGTATCACCTGATATCTCTGTCCACCTGCCCTAAAGTGGTGTACACTTGTGGCGCAGCAGACGGTTTTCGGTGTAGCTTGGGCTCAGTCCCGTTTCACCCCAACACCTACCACTTAGCCCTACCCCTCGTTTTCGAGTGCCACTTTACCCCTCTGAACAGAGCTGCAAGGGCTAGTGGTGAAATCCTTCCCCTACGAAATGGGACAACCCTTCAAGACCTGATACGTCATCAGTAGTCGTCGACTGCAATGACGTAAAACGATGCGACAAAGTTGCTGGTCTTTCCCAAAATGTCGGCGTTAACTGTGTTACTGTCCCTTACGTGGGCTATGGGCAACTTTATGCACTTGTCAACAACATCTCGATGAGAAGAAGAAAAGAAAGCCTGAAAAGAAAGGTCAATGTTAAAAGGACAAACAGCACAGTTAGAAGATAGCAGCGTACAACATTTCCAACAGCCAACAGCATTCCAAACAGTCACAGCAAAATAAAAAGTTAGAAGAACATATCCAAGCATACCAGCCATAAGGAGGCAAGACACAGTCATCACATGCACAGCGTATCCTCCTTAAATACACTCACTACAGCAGCACAGCACACAGAACAACCACATAGATGTGGGCATACATATGCAATACACAGAAAGGTAAACATCTAAAAGACAACATGCATGGGAGAGACGGTAATGAGCCAGCAGATAGATGTTAGAGCAGTGTCAGTGAGAATGTCCATGATAGAGTCTTTGAAAGCTGATTTAGAGATGAGACTGTCCAGTTTGAGAGTTTTTTGTAAGTTGTTCCAGTCAGTGGCTGCAGCAGCCCTGAATGATGTTTGACCAATAACTGTATTTGTTTTTGGAATTTTTAGGAAAATGTGAAATGTGGTGGGCAGAACGGGTGTTGTAGGTAGCAGTTGTAATTTGCACCAGGTGACACAGGTGGGGGGGGGGGGGGGGACCAAGAAGGGACCAAGAAGAAGGGTTTTGTATATTAGAATTAACCAGTGCATTTTACGACGGGTGTGTAAGGATGGCCAGTTGACAAAGGAATATAGGGTGCAGTGGTGTGTGTTGAAAGAGGCATTGGTGATAAACTGGATGGCGGAGTGATAGAGAACGTCAAGTTTATGGAGTGAGGCTTTGCATGCTGATCTATATATTACGTCACCACAGTCTAACATTGGGAGTATTGTCATTTGGACCAGAGTTAGTTTGGCAGAGGGAGTGAGGGTGGAGCGCATTCTGTACAGGAAACCAAGTTTGGATTTGACCTTTGACTGTAACCTGTTGATATGGTGTGAGAAAGACAAGGTGCTGTCTAGCCAGATACCTAAGTATTTGTATTCCGTGATCTCGTTAAAGCTATCTTGTAGTGATGAGAGTACTATATCTGGGGAGGGACCAACGGCATAAAGGACTGTGTCATCGGCATAGAGGTGGATGGATGAGTCTGTGACAGATTTGGATATCATTAATATAGATGGAGAAGAGAGTGGGGGCTAGGATCGAACCCTGGGGTACACCCTTAGTGACAGGGAATGGCTGTGAGAGATGCTCAGTTTTCACCCGTTGCTCCCGATTAGTGAGATAGTTTGAAAACCATGCCAGTGCCGAAACCCCGATGCTGCCCAGTCTGCCGATTAGGACGGAGTGATCAGCAGTGTCGAATGCCTTTGCCAGGTCAATGAAGATTGCTGCACAGTGTTGTTTTGTGTCTAATGCAGAGGTTATGTCATTCAGGACTGACAGAGCAGCAGTGACACAGCCATAACCAGCCCGGAAACCAGATTGAGCATCAGACAAGATATTGTGCATTTCCATATGACTAGTTAGTTGCTTATTGAAAAGTGTCTCCAACACTTTAGACAGACAGGGCAGTATTGAGATGGGGGATCAGCCTGATCCCCTCCCTTGAACAGGGGACACACCACTGCTGCTTTCCAAGCATGTGGGAATTCAGCTGTGTGGCGGGACATGTCAGTCATGGTAGCTGCAATGATGGGGGCCGCAATCTTCAAGAAGAAAGGGTCTAGCTCATCAGACCCAGCTGGCTCTTTATTAGGGCCACTGACATCAGTCAAGTACATTTACAAAATGTAATTCTAGCCCTGCAACAAGGATTGCACTTGACCCTACACTTGAATGCGCAAAAAGTAGGGTAGGGCTAAGTGGTACGGGTAAGGGTAAGGGGTGAAATGGGACTGAGCCTTGTTCTTTGTTGTCTGTTTAGTTTGTACCAGCAGTAAGATGTTAATTTTCAGTACCAAATCCATTTTATCTTCTCAACTTGCTAGTAAGACTAAACAATGACCAAAAACGAAAAAGATGTCTTGGACAAAAGTTCTTAATCGCTAACAACTGGCTACTGTACACCAGAAGCCCTGAACTGTTGAGCCATTGCTCCTGGACGCTCTATCACTGCATGCATGAGGCCACCATTTAACTTTGAAGCTAGTCTTTTAAGGCCAGTTAGACTTAAAGTCCTCAAAGTGGTTATAAAATGGACATTAAACACCTATGATTAAACAATGACCATTTCAACTTCCTCTATAAAAACTTCCTGTATCATGGTTAAGGTAAAATTGTTAATTCAAATAAATAGTAGAAGGTTAACTGGGATCAGGTTCTGTCTCTGCATGGGGCTGAGTCAGGATCACATGAGTAATAACAGCTTCACACATGAACACAAAGTCTATAAAACCTGATTAAGCCGTTTTTCCATCAGATGTTTCCTGCTCTGACATTTATCTCCACAGCCTGGAAATTGAATTGTCTTCTGCGGATGTGTTGTTTGAATAATTGAAAACGCTGTTCAGTTTTCATTTACACATCAGAGTGAATAAAACAACCGGAGAAGTCAACCATTTCCTCATCTCAGATGTCATTAAAAAAACAACTGAGGTGCTGCGATAATCATGTCCTACAGCTGAGCTCACTCAGCGACGCTGCACGATTTCCTGTAGTG